GGAGGACCACATGAGGTGCCAAGGATCTTATCTGGGTTGGTCACATGGAAGGCAAGGGCCCACCTGGCTATACTATTGCTCCAGTCCTCACTCTACCCTTTTGGTGACTGAGTGTTGCAGTGCAAACAAATTCTGAGTGCCTTGGTTTAGCACCGTCTACGTGTCTACAAGCCCTGTACATGTTTACTCCTGTTCCAGAGATTTTGAACTACTCCTTTTGGTCCGTTTTGCCATATTCTTTGTGCCTTAAATGCACTTTCCCCCCACTTTGAGCAGGGATAGGTGCTTTTTCAGCAGCTTCAGTGGTACTTCCTCAGTGAGGTCTTCCCAACTAAAGCAGCTGCTCCTAGCCTTAGCTCCACCCACACCATTGCTGCCTGTTCTTTCTCCCTCAGGTACAAAGCACAACTCACAATGATGTATTTGTGTTTCTTTTTTTTTTCTCCTTTGGTTTTTAGACCATTTGGTTGTATTCAGGATCTCCTGGTGGGGCTTGGAGATCATATGTGGTGCCAGGGATTGAAACCAGGGAACAAGGCAAGCACCTCAAACCCCTCTACTATCTCTCCAGCCTTATATTTTCCTTCCTTCCTTCCTTCCTTCCTTCCTTTCTTCCTTCCTTCCTTCCTTCCATTTTTTTTGGTCATACCCAGCAATGTTTGAAGTACTGCTAGATCTGTACTCAGGAATTACTTCTGGTAATGCTTGAGGGACCATATGGGATGCCAGGAACTGAACCCAGGTTGGCTGCATACAAGGCAAGCACCCTGCCCACTGTATTATCACTCTGGCCCCCAGCCTTATCTTTGTTTTTTTTGGGGGGGTCACACCCGGTGATGCACTGGGGTTATTCCTGGCTCTGCACTCAGGAATTATCCCTGGCGGTGCTCAGGGGACCACATGGGATGCTGGGAATTGAACCCAAGTTGGGCGAGTGCAAGGCAAATGCCCTAACCACTGTGCTATTGCTCTAGCCCCACCTTATCTTTTCTTAACGGGACTCACTGAGCATTTAAAATTATATACTGGAGTGGAGAGATAGCACAGCGGGTAGGGCGTTTGCCTTGCACGTGGCCGACCTGAGTTCGATTCCAGCATCCCATATGGTCCCTTGAGCACCTCCCCGAGTAACTCCTGAGTGCAGAGCCAGGAGTAACCCCTGTGCATCACCGGGTGTGACCCAAAAAGCAAAAAAAAAAAAAAAAATTAAATTATATACTGTTTTATTTGTTTTGGGGTCACACCCAGCTTGCTCCTGGCTCTGTGCTCAGGATCACTCCCGGTGGTGCTCAGGGTGCATGTACAAAGTAAGTGTACAAGATCGATCATGTACAAGGTAAGTGCCTAACACACTATATACTATCTCTCCAGCCCTTTATTTATGTGCTCTTCTCCTATACTACATCCATTGCTGTTGCTGATGCTATTATGATCACTGCTGGGCACACACATGCCTGACTGTGATGTTCACCATGGACCGTCCATCCTGGCACTGACACTCTTATAGAAACATGACTAGTTTGTGTAAGAAGTCAGAAATAACTTGCAGTGTTCTTCATCATAAACAATAGAGCTGCCAGGCTCAAATAGTAGCACTGTAGTGAGGGAAATGGTTTAAAGGGCTGGAGTGCATGATTTATATACCAAAGCCCTGCATATGATATGTGGCAACACATATCATATGCAGCACTGCCGGATATAAGCCAAATAAAACAATACAAAACAATGTAGGAGATTTGACAGAATTGCACTGGACACATATGGAACACCAGGGATTTGGACTTGTGGCCATACAAATGCAAGGCAGGTATTCTAAGTCACCGTACTGTTCTTCCAGGCCTGTGCTTCATTGTTTTAGGGCCTGATCAACTACTAGATGGGAAACTGCACAAGGAAAGAATGGTGTTCTAATCGTGGTTAATTTCCTTATGTGTGTTTGACATGTGATAAAGATTGTTCTGGGGCCACACCCAGTGTTGCTCAGAGCTTACTCCAGGCTCTGCTCTCAATCACTCCTGGAGGGGTTCAGTAGAACATATGTGGTAGTAGGGATCGAACCCCAGGTTAGCCACATTGCAAGGCTAGTGCCCTACCTGCTGTAATATCTTTCTTGCCCAATAGTAAAGATTTAATAAAGGTCAGAAAAGATAGCAGGAAGATCAGGAATACATGCTTTGCATGGAAGAGGCCCGATGTGGATCCCCAGCACCACAAGGTCTTTCCAAGTACTAATAGGAGAACCCCAGAGCAATGAGCACTGCTGGTACCATGCTCTAACCAACTGAGCTAACCGGCCCCATGAGGACTGCTGGTTGTGGCTTCCCAGAAAAACCTGAATGAGCAGCGGTAAGTGCTGCCTCTAAACGTCTATTTTTATCTCTAGGTGCTAAATCAGACTTCCTTGTCACCTTTTCTCACTTTCTTTCTCGGGGGAGTGGGTGGAAAGTGTCTCCCACGCAGTGTTCAAGAGGCCAAACTCAGGGGTCCCGCCTAGCAGTTCTCAACCAACTAGGCCTTCAGTTCGATGCAGGAGTCCAAGCTACTCCAGTGGCGCTCAGGGCCTCCAGGACTGCGTTCAGCAATACTCGGGGGATAATGTGGTGCTGGAGATCAAATCAGGGTCAGTCTTAAGCAAGGCAAGCATCTTAAATCCTGGACTAGCTGACCACCATTTCCCACTTTCTAGTTAAATCAGATATTCAGCCCACACTGACAAGTCCTGTGACCCTACAACCCTCCTTACCTCCACTGTCTTTTTTTGTTCATTGTGCTCCCTTCATACAACAGTTCTTTTTATTTCCCCTTTTCCTGCATGGTTGTGATGATGAGGGGTCAACCCCTTAAGCTGTGGTGCTGTCTGTTGTGGCACCAAGATTGTATTCAGCAGGTGGGGCAGTGCCAAGGATCAAAACCCAGGCTCAAACTTAAGGCTTCATGTCTGTCTGGCAAGTGCTCTTCAACTGAGCTATCTCTAGCCCCCACAAAAGTTCTTTAAAAGATTATTTCAGGGGCTGGAGCAATAGCACAGCAGGTAGGGCGTTTGCTTTGCATGCGGCCGACCCGGGTTCAATTCCTAGCATCCCATATCATCCCCTGAGCACTGCCAGGGGTAATTCCTGAGTGCAGAGCCAGGAGTAACCCCTGTGCATTGCAGGGTGTGACGCAAAAAACAAAAAAACAAACAAACAAAAAAACATTATTTCAAGCACAAATACTGTAGCATTTTTTTTTTTCTTTTTGGTTTTTGGGCCACAGCCAATTCACTCAAGGGATCAGATGTGGTACCTGGGATTGAATGGGGGCAAACACCCTACCCGCTATATTAGCACTCTGGCCCACTGTAGTATTTTTTCTAATCTCCAACACATGATTTTCACCCCCTGCTTTGAATTCCAATGTTTCGTGACTAATGGCATTCCTCCTATTCTGTATTGTTTTAGCCCTGACTTCTAGAGAGGTTTTTAATAAATTTGTGGAACAAGGATGAAAACAACTATTCTAGGGTAATCTTCAACAATTATTTATTTTTTGGTCTTAGTGATACCACAGAGGGTAGGGCGATTGCCTTGCACGTGGCTGAGCTGGGTTCCATTCATGTCTGTCTCTCTTCGAGAGCCTGACAACCTACTGAGAGTATCCCCCCCCGCAGCAAAGCCTGGCAAGCTCCCCATGACCTATTCCATATGCCAAAAACAGTAACAATGTCTCAATGGAGATGTTACTGGTGCCTGGTCGAGCAATGGGAGGACAGTGCTACAGGGATACACCAATTTGCTTAGGTGTTACTCCTGCTGGATGCTCAGTGGCTGTGCTATGCCGGGGTTCTGGGATTGAACCCGGGGCACTCAGATACATCCCAGCAGCCCTTTCAACTCTTTTCCAGACCCTAGTTTTTAAGTCTAATGAGCATTAAAAACTCAGAACCTTTGCTTTGGTTTGGGGCCCATACCGGGCTATGCTCGAGGCTTACTCCTGGCTCTGTGCTCAGGGATCACTCTTGGCAGTGCTCAGAGGACCATTTGGGGTGATGGGGATCAAACCCTGGTCGGTGTGCAAGGCAAACAGCTCTATCTGCTGTACTTAATCACTCTGGCTCTGAGAAACACAAGACAATTTTTAAGAGAGCACAGATTTTCAGGCTTGCTGGAGATGTTCACTCCTCATTATGTTCCTGGAGGTGCTCAGAGGACCATATACAGTGGTGATCAAACTAGGGTTGGCAAGGCCTTAACCCTTTTTTTAAAAAAACTTAGTTTTTTTAAAGTTTTTTAAAATTAAGTTACTGTGACAGATCCTTACAAAGCTGTTTGTATTAGGTTTCAGTCATACAGTGTCCTAACACCCATCCACCAGTGAACATTTCCCAACACCAGTGTCCCCAGTTTTCCACCTATCAGTCCCCCACCCCCAAGCCTGCCTGTATGGTGGGCGCTTTTCTTTTCTGTCTTTCCCCCCTGCCTTTTGGGCATTGTGGTTTGCAATACAGATACTGAAAGGTCATTAGGAATATCCCTTTACCTCCTTTTAGCACTCAGTTCTTGCCCAACGTGATCATTTCCAGCTATTATCATACTGGTTCCTTCTCTGCCTACCCTCTGATCAATGGTTGGAATCAACCACAAGTGTGTGGGGAGCGGAGGGTAGGCCTTAACCCTTTAACCCCTGTAATCCAGCCCCTAAATTGTTCTTTTAACCATGCAGTGCTGGGGTGAAACCCCTATATACAGAAAAAAAAATTCCACTGAACTATCTTTCAGCTCTCCCCTCCCCACACCACTAAAAAGTAGACTTAGCCACATAGTACTAAGGGGGTGATATAATGTGGGGGTGTGTCTGAGATAAAACTCACACATCCTATCACTTGAACCTCTCCTAGGCCTCCAAAAAGTTAACGTGATGTGAAGGCAATCCCCAGGCCCAAGGCTGACTGATTCAGTCCTAGTAAGGGAGGGAGTTCAGAAGTTGACAATCCCTATCCTTCCTCCAGGAGGTTAGATAAATAAAGACTGCAGTGTTTTTATTTTGCCTTTCACTTTTAATCTCCTCCAGTTCCAGTTCTCAAAAAATTACCCAGAAGTAAAAAACAAGAAAGTTCAAAATGCCAAGGCAAGCCAGCCCAAGATTAGCAGGCTCCCCCCCACAGGGGCCAAAGTCTGGATGGTAGGATTTCCAGTCAGACCGTAGTAGTAGAAACTGGCACAGAATAAAGTGGTTCCAGAGGCTAGTAGTAATCCGGCCTAAAGGAAATAGAAGGCAAAATTACAAGGTAAGTAAGAACGGGGAAGGCTTAAAAGGGGTTGGTAGGGCTTCATCAAATTTAGGCAAAGAGGGAAGGTTACCCAGAGGGGTTTTCTGCAATTGGGTACCCCTAACAGGGCCAGACTGTGTAAGAAGTGGTATTGGTTGGCCTTGACAAACAGCTGTAAGAAAAAAAGAGAGAGAGAGAGAGACTTCCTAAGCACCGCAGGAAACTGGATCTTGAGTTCTAATGCCACATGTAAGTTCCACTCTGCCCCTCTCAGGCACCCCGATACACGTCAGGCAGTGTCAGCAGCTCCGAAGAACCGCAACCCTTCCCCTTGACACTGTAAAGATCCTGAAGTCGCTTGGAAGCCCCAGAGCAGTTACTTCACCTCCTTTCCGTAGGCATCTGGGAACTGGGCGCCTGTAGAAAGAAAAGGTAAAAATTACCAATTTTCACAGGAATTTCACCGCCCCTATTCCTGGGGTGACCCAAGGGGGCGCTACTGAAAAAGGGAGCCCCAGGGAATTTTCTGATCGACTGAAATAAGCCTCAAGCAGCTTGAGAAGCCACTGGGCTAGGGTGAGGAATTTACAAAGGGCTGGGTCTTTGCGGACTGTCCGGTCGATAGCAGGCCGGGCACTTCCCAGATTCCACCCCTAAGCCAGACCCCAGAGGTCGCCCCCGGCACAATCCTAGGTCTGTCCTCCGTCCCCACCGTGCGCCCCGTAGGCGGCCAAGCCTACGGCCCCGGCTCCGGACACAGCGCCCAGGCGGCGGAAGGCAGTCCCCAGAGAGGCCATCGCCGTAGGTGGTCACGCGCAGTTCAGACACCGCCCAGGCTATCTTGGGAAGTCGGCCAATCACGACCTCCAATGCAAATAAGCTCCACAGGTGCCCAATCGGGGCCGTGCTCATTCCAGCGTTCAGCCCTCATCGTGCATTTGCGCCTTTGTAAAACCTCCGACGAGTGGTGAAGACGTCTGGCGGGCGGAGAACCCGGGGCCAATGAGGAGCGGAGGAAGGAGGCAGTGGCGGAGCGGGAGGCGGGGCCGTGGGTTGCGTCACGGATTGGCCCACTTTCTAAGCCGATCGCTTCTTAACGCCCCCTCCTAGCTCCGACCAGTTTCCGAAGAACCGGGTCCCCACGTTTAGGCCCGCCCCTTTCCCCACAGTCTCCTCCTTTTCAGGTTTAAACCGAACCCACTCCCCAAAAGAGGCGGCTCCCACCGCCAAGCTCCACCCACGGCCGAGAAACACCGCCCGCAGCTCGACGGCTCCTCCTCCTTCACATGATGCCTCGCCCCCTACAGTTCAGTCCTCTCGGCCCCTCACCCCCATCCCACCTCGGGAGCCGGGAAGGTGGGAGACCGTGGGGGAGGACTCCACCCTGTCCCGACCTGCCTGGTCCGCCCGTCTGCCCCCTCTGGCTCCCCTTCCCCGTCTCTAGCCCCCCACACTCCGGAGGGCGGGCGGGCTGACTGGTGGGAGCGAGGGGTGTGCGCTGCTCTCTCGGCAGGGGGCGGGGGAGGCGGCCGCGCGGTGACGCGCGGGGCTGCTGCGGCTGCTCCGCCGGCGGATCATCACTCTCGGGCTGGGATGGACGCGAGGCGGGCGGGCCCTGGCGCGCGGTTCCTGGAGTCCGGGCCTCCGGGCTGCTGAGCTACCCCCGAAGCCGCCTCCTGCAGCCACTTTCTTTCCTAGAGCCCTTCCGACCCCAGCCCCGGGGCTCCAGACCCGGCTCCCGCCCTCCTGAGTCCCCGGACCTTCCCCTCCCGCCGCCCTCGGGATCGACTAGATCCCTCCCCCTCCCCGAGGATTCCGGCTGGATCCCTGCCCCTGCACCGCGGGTCCTGCGTGCCCAGGCTCCAGGCCCCTGGAGATTGCCGTGAACTCCTCCTCCCGCACCCGATCCCTTAGGATCCTCCGCCTGTAACGCCTTCTGATCCCTCGGAGCCGGCCCTCGGAGCCAGTGGATCTCAATTCCGTTCTGTCCCGTTTCCCCCTCCTCTCTCCACCGTCCCCACTGCGGGGATCCCTGTTCTGGGGCTCCTCCTGACCCCATCCGCTACCTCTCCTTCGCCCGGGGATCGACTGGATCCCGGCCCCGCCCCCCGGGGTTGGGGCGATCCCCCCTCCCCCGCCGGGTGAGGCGCTGCGGGCGGGGGCTGCGCCTGCGGGACCGCGGGGGCTCAGAGGCCGCCGCCCCCCTCCCTGAGCCAACCCGCCCCCTACTCGGAGCCCTGGATGGAGGCACCACGGCCCCGGGGCTGAGCCAGGTAGGAGCTAAGCCGGGTAGGGTGGAGGGGCTGCGTGGCGGTCCGCTGGGGTCTCCCTCTCCCCGTTGCTCTCCTAGTTTCCCCCAGCCTGCTCCGTCTGCGTGTCTCCGCCTAGGGATGCTCTTGCCGTGTCTCTGCGTCTCGGTCTCTTTGTCTCTGCTTCTCTCCAGCCCATGAATGATCCTTTGAATGGGCCTACAGACCCCGTGTGTTCCCATCTCCCCCTCCCCCTCCTCCCCTTCCCGGCCAAGCCATTTTCCCCACTGCAGGAAGGGGGGGGCGCCTGCGGCCAGAGCCCCCGTCCCTCAACTCTCCCTGACTAGGGGAATCAGGGCTGGACAGCAATGGAGAGAGCAGAGCAGAGGGATAGGGAGAAGAACCGGGGAGCAAGATGTGGCAGACAGACATGAGGAGAGCGGGGAGAGAAAATGGGGGAGACAGGGAGAGAGAAGAGCGGGAGGGAAGGAAGGAGGGAGGAGGAAGGGGGTTGAGGGAGAAATTTGGGGACGGGTTCTGAAGAGATGAGAACACCAAGGAGAGATCTGGAAGAAAGACGGAAGGGACCGAGGTGGAAGACTGAAGGCTAGACTGGAGCAGGCTGGAAGAGGCCAGGCTCTGAGGGAGTGTAAGAGGAGCGAGATGGAGGGGGAAGGCTCCAGTGGGAGTGAAGAAGAGAGAAGATGACTAGGAGGAGGCCAGGAGCCAGAGTACCTCACAGGCAGGGCTGGGGGCTGACAGAGGCAGACCATGTTAGTGGGAGGAGGAGGCTGACACCCTGGAGGCAGAGCCCAGCCTGGCATGGGCAGAGCAAGATCCTGAGGGAGCCAGTCCCAAACCCTCTGAGGTGATGGGGGAACAGGAGCTCAGGAGGACCTGAAGAGAGGGAGGGCATGACTGGGTGTGTGTGTAAGGACTCCTGTGTCCTCAGCTCTGGAATAAATTGACACCTGCAGAGAGCCACCGGGAGGGCTGGCGCCTGGCTCTGAAAACCCCGCGTCAGCAAACAGCTCTGGCTGCTGGGGGCGGGGGTGGGGGGGGAACAGGACAAGTGGGGGCTTGCTGAAATGACCTGGGTGTCTGCTGCTTTGGGTCTGTCTCTTCCCTTGTCCTGCCCCTGCTGCCCTCAGCACCCAGCATCCAAGCAAAACTGTGGAAGGGCTGGCAAGGGGAAGGGGAGGGGACTCAGGGTGAGAAGAAAGCCAGGGTTTGCCCCCGGACATGGGTCCAGATGCCTGGCACAGAATAGGAGGTGCCTGGAGTCCATGGCTGTTTCAGAGTGTGGGAAGGGGCAGTCATCAGTGGGTGCATCTGATGCCCCTCAAATCTACCTCAGCATCCCTTCTCCCCAGCCAGAAGTCTGGTCACTAGAACTAGACTGACTGGCCTGCAGTGTGTAATTTGTGGGTCTGTTGGGGGGGTCTCTTTACTCCCGGTCTCTCATTCCCTTCAACATATATACTTGTTCCTCCTTGCTAATGTTAGGGAAAACTCTAGCCTTCTGATCTATGCTTCTGCTCTACCCTCTCTTGCCCTAAATGGACCTCATAACCAAGAGAGCCCCTTACCCTCTTTTCTCGAGACACCCCCTTCCAGGGTTAAAGCTGCAGCCCGTTACCGAGGTAACATTGCGGGCAGCATCCCGTCGCCCGGCAACCGACTGCAGGATCATGCATATGTCCCCCGGATTTGCCCCTCCAATATCCCCTCCCTACTTTAGACACTGTCTCAAGGCACCTTAACTTCTGAGGGGAGAAATTAAGTGAGCGTGGGGGAAAAAGATCCCCTAAGCTTCACAAACCCTTAGGGTACAGGAGGTTGAAGGGCGGAAAAGATGCTGGGTTTGTTCAGTCCCAAATGAAAAAGACCAAGTCTGGCCTGGGTTGAAGGTTCAGTGGCATGAAATTACAGCTCAGGAGTAATTAACGCGTATAAACAAATCTACCACTTCCTGCTAATTAATGAGCTGGTATTTTTATTTTCTCTTCCTTGACTATCTCATCCCTCCCAGGGAGGTGGGAACTGGGACTCCTGAGTCCCTGGAAAGGATAAAGCAGATGGAAGGGAGCATGTTTGGGGGTTGCGGGGGGTTGACTGCTTCCACTCTGGTTCTGCCCTTAACTTTTACTACATCTTCACCCCACCCTCAGCCTCAGCCTCATCCTTTTTCCTCTGGGTTCCTGCTGAGGCGGGGAGATTGCTAGGGTGGAGGAAGGTGCCAAAGGGTCCTGTGGGTGGAAGAAAGGGATAATTTGATCTGAATTCCAAGTCACTAACCGCTTGTCTCTTCTGTTTTCCCATTCCTTTCTGTCTGCCCCATCCTCCAATTTCCCTTCCCTTTCCTCACCTCTCTGTATTTTTCTGCCCGTCTGTCTGTCTTGTCTGTCTCTTGCACACCCGGGCCCCACAGGTCGGGTCGACCTTCACCTTCTCCCACTCCCTTCCCTTTCCCTACCCCTCGTCCCCTCCATGGAGAGGAACAGACCACTGCTCCGCCCGGTCTAACCCAGGTCCCTCCCCGCCCTCCCTCCTCCCTCCGTGCCCCGCCCCCTCCTCCCACCTGGGGCGAGGGGGGCCTCCCTCCCTCTCCCCCCCCTTCTCTCTCTCTCCGAGGGGGGGGGGTCCCGGGGAGGGAGGGGGGGTCCCCGGATCAGCATGTGGCTCCTGGCGCTGTGTCTCATGGGGCTGGTGGGGGCTCAGCGGGGAGGAGGGGGTCCCGGCAGTGCCGGCGCCCCCCCGGGCGGCCCGAACCCGGGCCTCGGGGAGGAGCGCTTCCCGGTGGTGAGCACGGCCTACGGGCGCGTGCGCGGCGTGCGGCGCGAGCTCAACAACGAGATCCTGGGCCCGGTCGTGCAGTTCTTGGGCGTGCCCTACGCCACGCCGCCCCTGGGCGCCCGCCGCTTCCAGCCGCCCGAGGCCCCCGCCTCGTGGCCCGGCGTGCGCAACGCCACCACCCTGCCGCCCGCCTGCCCGCAGAACCTGCACGGGGCGCTGCCCGCCATCATGCTGCCCGTGTGGTTCACCGACAACTTGGAGGCGGCCGCCACCTACGTGCAGAACCAAAGCGAGGACTGCCTGTACCTCAACCTCTACGTGCCCACCGAGGACGGTAAGGGCGTGGGCACCAGGCCGGGTACCCGTGGACGCGGCCCACTACGCCCAGATACACTCCCGAGCACCGGTGGGGCCCCGTGGCTGGGAGTTGGGCAGTGAGGTGGTGCAGCCCCGCCGTGGGTGCTTCAAGGCGCCTGCCAGGCGTGCCCACAGACATTCCTTGTGCCCACAGAGAACTCTTCTGGCAGTAAAAGCAGCAGGTAGCAGGCACACTGAGTGGCCCCTGGGAGCAATGTGGTGGGCTCCATCCACAGCCCGCCCTTACCCCCACTCCAGCTCTGTCCCTGCTCGCGCCCCAGGCCTGTGCTTATCGCTGGCCAAGGACCCACATTCACCACAGCTACACCTCAGGGACAACACAGACTCTCTTTGCCCCAGCCCAGGATGCACAAACTTCCTTCTGTCGTCATATGCAGGCCCCCCTCCCCTCACCCGCACCTGAAGCCTCCTCTCCAGGGGCCCCTCCGTTCACCGTTCGTAGCACAGCTCCTGCTTCCCTGGGATCCTGAGCCCGTCAGTGAACCTTCTGGGTCACTGTAGTTGGCTCACAGACCCCAGCGTGCTCCTCCTGGTCAGTCTCTGCTGCCAACCTTCTGCTCACCAGGATTAATCAG